ACTGATAAAGTAATGTTAATATAATTTTTTAACACATTTGTTTCATAGAAGAATGAATCACTTAAACTTCCAATAAATAAACATTGAAGTATTTTTTAAAAAAAATTATTGAATTTAAACTCTACTCTCATTCATAAATCATCTGATATTACTTACATTTCAGACAAATAAACAATATGATTGATACTAATTATCTTATATTTAAATTATAATAATAATATAATAAATAATAATGTGCAACAAAAATATTTTATCGTATCAATATATAATATTATAATTAGAGTATATAATTTATAAAATAATTTATTTATGTGTACATTAAAAATCATTCTATTAATTTTGAAGTGATTACTTCCAATGATTCATAAGCGAGAATGTAAGTATGTCTTCACGAACGCCATTTCCTTTATCGTCCATCTAGTTTCCGTAGTCGACGATAAATCTTCGCACAAGTAACAAACGCTCGATAAGAATAATTCTATGATTCGTGGAATGTTCGTTCCTCTCGGTCACTTTTCTATTTACGACTGCGAACCAGCTACGTCCTTCTGTCCCCCTCTCTCTCAATCTGTTCTCGACCCGACACAGGATTCTCTACATCGGTACACGAGGCTTGCCTTGGCCGTCGTGGAATTACAGACATTGACGATCGTGAGCGTTCTCAAGTGTTGCGCAATATGTACGAGAACCGTGCGAAACTTGAAAATTCTTATTGTAACGGGCGCGAGGGTTGCGCAATATCGCGTAACGCATGCGTGACCAAATTGAATCGTAATGAGTAAAACGCGCCTAAAAACAATTATTCTGAATGAATAAATATATATTTTTCTTGAATTTTTTTATTTGAAATTGTTTGAAATCGTTTGTACAATAGAATAAAATTCATTTTATATATTATTAAATGTTATTTCAGATCAATGATAATTTGATATATTGATATTATTAAAATATTGATAAAAATAATTGAAAATCCTTTTTTTACCATAATTATTATAAGATATAATATTGAATTTTTAGAAAATGAAATTCTTTTTTGAAAAAAAAAAATATTCAGCTATTAATAAAGAACCAGATTTTTCGAAAATTGAAATTTCAATAATTGGAATTTCTCGTTTAAATTTAATTATAAAATCTTTTTTATTTGAAATAATCGATTAATATATTAATTGTAAATTATTTTACACGAAAATAATATATGAACATATATTATTTTTTTTTTTAAGTAAATATTAAATTATAAAAGAAGTAAATTTTAAATTTGTAAAAAATGATATATGCACGAAATTTATGACATATATAACATATGATAGTTCTTTTAATAAGAACTGAATAATATATATAATTATACAAATATAATATAATATATATATGTGTATTATATATACAAAGTTTAAAAGTTTAAAAATAGTTGAATATACCATATTATATACAGTCAATAGAATAATCACGATGTCACATTATTCGCGTATGCAGGTAAATTATGCTAATGCTAAAACGCATAAAAAGTATCGCGGCGTCTTGCTTATGCGGGCGTCGATGTCTCCGCATATGAACGTGGAAGTGCCGCGTCGAAGATATTGTGTGCTACTAAATAATGAATGTGTATATAGAAAAATTTAAATACGAATTGAATACTTTCACAATCACGCGGACACAATCAATGTATCAGCAAAGATTGTCGCTTCGATAAATTATTGAATCTCATCTAATGAATAGACGTAATAAATCTAGATACAAAGTACGTAGACTTTATTCAATTATTAATATTCAATGGATTCTTTATCTTGTAATATTAACGGGACATCGATGTAACTACGAAGGTGAAACAATTGCATTGTATCATCGATAATTAATCTACGTGATTCTTTTATAATCTATTTAAAATAAATTTCAATTTAAAATGAATTTTTTATGAAATAAATAGATTTATTCTTTATATCATATACTTTAATATATATAATTCTCTTATATTGTATATTGCTATATCTATATATATTTTGTTTTAATTAGTTTTAATTACATAAATAGTAATATATTATAATATAAGCGACAAGTTTAAATATTCTTTTTTTCTTATTTCTTCATTATGCTAAAACATATGTTTTCAAATACTCATCCTCCATTAAAGGAAAAGTCCCTTAGAATCCCTTATTAATGAAGTGAATAATTTCACACTCCATCCATCTTTGTCTTTCACTAATTATTTTCTACTTATAATGCTTTTTACCTAGAAAGTTGAAATGAGGTTTGACTTTCGTAGCAGATAAATATGTATTTTCATAATGCTTTGAATTATAAGAGAAGTAAATATTATATTATTTTATTTTTTAAAAAAATATGTAATAATTTCATTTTCAGCAATTCGAAAATTTTCGAACAATTTGTAGTACATAATATCAATAAAATTAATATTAATAATAGAATTTCATTAAATTTTTTTAAATAAAATTTTTTTTTGAAAATATGATTTTTATCGTAATATTAATATAATAATATCTATTGAAATATCTATTGAAATATTGCAAAACGAAAAAATAATAAAAACATTATAATTTTTTTCATATAATTAAACAATTACATCAGTCAACATAGATATTGAGCACTTAATACTAATTATGTAAATGTTGACTATAATCGGATACAGGAACTATAGTTTGTGACATGAATTTCAACTATAGTGAATGAATTTCAAATATATTCGTCACATATACTATAGTTAACGTTGGTAATGACCGATAATTAAATACAAAAAAAATCCTAAATAGAGAAGATTCTGATTAAACACTAATAAATTAATAATAATAAATTTTAATAAGTATCATAATAAATTTTCACATAATAAAATAACGAACGTCTGCTTATCTCATTCCAATCTTATCTGTCTAGCCTTTATTATTCCATTAAATTAGTATTTCACCAAAGATACGGTTGCAAATTTACAGTTGCATGATGGATGGTGATAATTGTTACTTATCGAAACAGCTTAGCAATTCAGTTTATTGAGCGATAATCAAGAATCATATGCGTGCATTCGCCGAAATAAAACTCAAAGATTCTAATTCTTTTCGATTATTATTAAAAGATATTTTTTCAAAAATAAAAACTTATCAATATAAGTTTTCGAGTTTTGTACATCTTAATTGATAATACGAGATGATTAATGAGTAATTGTGGGAAAATAAATTTGCACCTGCGGTATGTGATAATCGATACGAGGCCATCGACATCGAGCTCTCGAAACGATCGACCGTGTCTGTAGCAATAGAGAAAAAAGAAAAAAAAATAGAAGGGGCGACGAAAAACGAGGAACCGGTTCGAGTCATTTTTCTAAACCAGTTTAGGACCAACTTCATCGTTCTGTCTACTCACTATACCGTTGTAAAAGAATCGCGTCAGACTACCATCGCGCGTTATGCCTGCGAATAGGCGCCTCAGGCTAAACACTCAATTAACCTGTCTTTCAATGAATTACATAACCTAAAATCAGCCTCCGATTTTGAACATGGAAATTCAAAATACCGACTAATTTTGTTTCTTTTATCCATTATACGTATTATACATTCAATGAAGAAATGATGTTAAAATGACATTATTACATTTACTAGGTACATAATCTAAAATCATTTTGAAATCATTTGGAAATTTAAAATATCGAATAGTTTCCTTATTTGTTATTTATATTTTCATAACGTTCAATGATAGAAAAAAATGAAACGTTAGAATATCGTTGTCGAACTGTTTTGTTTTAAATGATTTAACTGAAATCGTAAAAATAATAAAAAATGAAATAATAAGAAAATTTATTTCTTCATAGAAATAACGTTATAAGTGAAAAACTTATTTACATATCATTATGCACTATATACCGTTGACCAATGATTAAAAAAAGAAATGATCCGTTGATTGACAAATGTCACATCATGAATTATTATATAATCTACAAATTAATGTTTTTTTTTCTTTAGCTATCTTTTCGAAAAGAAATACGAAATTATTATTAATTTTATGATTGAATTTCGTAACGCGTTTTTTCTCAATTTTTCTTACGTGATCAAATTAAACAGTTGAAAAAAAATTCAAGTTCCCGATGTTAATGTAATAGATCGTAAAACAATGACATGTTATATAAAATGCTAAAAGATAATGACAGCGTTACAAATCAAATTTGCAAATGCACTTCTAAATTGCAACGGCACCTGTGCACACGACTCTTGTTTGCACCTGCAGGCTGGCCTAAAATATTCTCGCGCGCGCATTTTTTTTCTTTTCTTTCTTAGGACAGTCAAGTGCAAGAAAGGAGTCTTACCAAGTCGAAGGAAACAGAGAATTTTAATGAACCGGCCGAAACCTGCTTTACAATCTTTGCAGCGAATCTTCTTATCGCGGGCTGGTAAAATTGTTATAAATTGTTATTTTTTTTTAAAATTGTTGTAATTTTTCACGAAACAATATTTCTTCAATTTACATATATTGATTTCTGAAATTATTTGTTAATTTATACGAAATTTTCAAACTATACAAATTGTGAAATTAAATCTGATTTAATGCTTAAATAAATTGATTCTGAATCAGTTATTCATGATCCATAGTTCATCGAAATATATTTTAAAATGTCAATTGATTATTAATAATAATCAATCCTGAATCATTCGTGACCCATGCTACATTATATTTTAGAATAAAGATTGATAACATTTTGAATAATTTATGGATCATTTGTGATTCATGTTACATTTGAAAACATTAACTGATGGATAATACTAACTATGATTCTGGATCATTTATGATCTATGTTGTACTGTACTTTAAAAATAATTTCTCAATTAAAATAAGATTTGAAAAAAATAATTTATATCATTTATTCTCTAATCCAAAATAAATTACTTGATAGTGAATGATACTGAATGTTTGATTGAAATAATAGTATGTTCTTTTTATGATAATCTAGAAAATTCTCCTTGTTGTTGAGATATTTAATTAATCTAAAAAAAAAAACTTACATTGATGTTTATTCACAATAAGACTGAGAGGTTCGGTACTGCCAAGAGGACTTTCTTTACCACTACAGAGTGGCGGGCTTTTTCCAAGGTGCTGCGCTTCCAGCAACCTCAGTTGCTGCTGATGCAGCCGATTTTTGATCAGGAAGATTTTTGGCATCCTGATGTACGTTTACGCGTGCTAACGTGACTTTTGCTTTGTTGTTTCACGCCACCATTCCCACGTCCGATTTCAATAGCATTCCTCAGAACCATCAATCGCACAAATAATCACTTCTCGAGTCTTTTTCAAGTTAATAATCAGCCAATCACTGTCTGTTTTAAAAACTGCGATTGCGGCAAACGTTTCACTTTCGGTAACGAAACAGAATTCCAAATGTTCGTCCAATGTCAATGATCCGAATGCAAGTTAGACATAGCATTCCTTATTAAAATTCATTTCGAAAGAAAAAAAAATCTATGATGATATTGTTAATAATATTAATAATATTAACAAAACGAAGTTTTTCTTGGATCACTGTTCCAATAGTCACTATTTACGATCATACACGATGTTCGCGAAGTTCAGAGATCGATTAGCTACTCTGTTCGCGGTCAGTCCAAGGTCTGTCTTTTACTCTATCTCTTCCTTTCTTTACTGTCTCTCTCTTTCTTTGTCACGGATTTACAGTTATCCTGGATAGGGGCCGCAGATCGAGTAGCATACATGAACGACCGATCTCTGGTGAACGACTGAGACTCCGTTGCCTCTTCGCTAGACCGGGCCCCGAGCTTCATCCCCACCGCGAGCAGATTTAATCCCCACTTTATTGCTCGGTCGGCAGGCCCTCCTTCTCCCACTAAACGCACCTCGCATGGTATACAACCCATCCAGATTATTTGGTCGCTTTAGCAATGCGCGGGGCCCGTCGGTGGCCTGTTGGAGATGGAAACCGCTCGCGGGATAGCGCATGCGCGTAACGGAGCATCGTACGTGTGCTGAAGCGTGCGAGACACCCCTTGCCCTTCTCCTCGTACCGGTTCCCACCCTCATCGCGTTTGCGTCTCTTTTTAACGGAGACGCGTTTTATCCTGATTGTATCGTCTCTGTTTCTCTTTCTTTTTTCTATCCTCTTTCTCGTGTATGTATAATCTTTTCCTACCAGTTGCTTGATATTTTTCATATATTTTTCTCCTTTTTTGCGGCAACGCGTGCAAATGCGATTGCGCGTGCGCAGTGCAAGTTTTTCATTCACACGACGCAATGATCCCTGCGAACTTGCCCTCGTTTTTATTGAAGATAATTGATAAACGATTTGGGTAGAAATCGGTTACCTTATTAATATAGTTGATTTATATGTATTTTTTAAATATGAAATTTATGATTCTTTAGTATTAAAAAAACCTAGAAGAGGAAGACATTATAAAAAAAGGAAAATTACATAGAATAAATTTATAAATTTCAAATACGTAAAACTAAACAGATACAATGAAAAATGTACAACTTCTATATCATTGATCTATAACACCTGTACAATTCGCCACAATTGCACGCACGGTTCTCCAATAAACATAAGTACGTAGATACTACGTGTCCGCATACTGGTTTATGATAGACTCACGGTTAAGGCTAGGTTCTCCTCTCTAACCACTATGTCAGTTATGTTGTCAAGCGGTATACACGTAGCGGCTGAGTTGAACCATGCTGTTATACCACGAACACGTAATCACGTATACATATCTATAGGATATTTTAAATATTGTCAGATAAAATTTTTATTATTTATTATTTGTTTACTTTTATTATTTGAATGATAATATATTTATTATTAAATAAATTATTTTAATATTCAATTTTATTTAGCACTGAATAATTTTTTTTTGATTTTATTACTAAAATATAACTATTTCTTAAAAAATATAATAATTCCATTTTTTTGTCTTCTTTTTATTTAGATTTAGTTATGTTTCTATATTCCTTTAACTTAAATATATAGATGTATATTTACTTTATATTTTAAATAATCTTATATTTTATATTTTAAAAAAATAATACTTTATATTTTAAAAAAATATTTTATTATTTTTAAAATTATCAATATTTGATAAGTAAATTATTTAAAAATAATTTAATATTAAAATAAGATTTAAAAAATTTGCAAATATTTTTATATCTAATAATAAAAATTTTTTTTTTTTATTTGAATGGTTTTATTTTTATTTCAAAAAACAAACATCAAATTAATGATTATAGCTGCGAGATTTCACAGAATTTTCGTAATAAGTTCATTTCCTGTTTCTTATATTACAGTTCGGGCTTCTTAACAAGGATAGTCAACAAAGATTTCTAGAATCTTGAAATTCAAACTACGCTACCGTAATGTGACAATCTCAGGTAGGCGACGTGACTTTTAATTTTATGGAAATAAAACCAAGACCAAACTATCCATACATATTTGTCGTTTATCTAAAAAAGGATTGCGAAGACAGAAAGAAAGAAAGAAAGAGATAAAAAGAAAGAAACTAACGAGGGAAAATCTTTTTGATCTTTCTTTTTCTTTTCTTTTTTTTTTTTCAATTTCACAGGTCAAAAAACCTTAAAGATGACTCTGTTTTCTAGGAAGTTTCCTTATACTAAAAGCACTTGTTTGAATTTAGGCCACAACAACTGTCAACGTTGAATTATGCTTTTTGGCCACAACATGGATTCGGCAGGTATCCTGCTTGCATCTCGCATGGGAAACTTAAAATTATGAGAAAAATCCCGCACAAACCTAAACGCTTACGACTTTCTTCACGGGGGACACGTGTCCCCTAGATGGAATCTCGGACCATGCAAAGATTTTTCCTTCGATTATCAAGTTTCTTATATAGGATAGTTTCTTCCTCTATATAGGATCCCTAGTACAATAAATTTAGATATAAATTATTCACTGTTCGAAAAATTAACTTTTTGAATAATTATAAAAGGGAATTGTATCACAAAAAATTAAAATTAAGAACACTATCTAAATTTTATTGGAACATTAATAATTAAATAAGAATAAATTTGCAATATTTATTTTCTTATTATCTCTTTCTTCAATCTATATTCTCATAGATTGGTATAATAAATTATTTAATATGTGCAAATAATAAACATATATAAAATATATATAAAAAATATTATTTCATTATATCATAATATATATTTGTTTAAATTGAGGAATTTTTAATGAAATTTTACAAAAACGAGAAAGATGATGTATTATTATTATTATAAAAGATTTTTTATTTTTTATTATTTTTTATTTACGTTAATAATTTTTTTTTTCTTTTGACTGATTCATATTTCCTGTTAGATTATGTAAATAATAAAGATATTATAAAATGATATTTATCTATCTTACTTTCGCTCCCAAGACAATGGAATTAATAAACTATCTATCTGTGAGGATTTATTCCGTTTATATTTTTTTTACCGTATTATGAACAAGTAATCTTATTTGTATTTTGAGAGTCTTATTTCTAGATATTAAAAATTTTCTGCAAAATTATAAGTTTCAGTAAAATTTTCTAATCTTTTAATTATTAAAAAATTTATTATTTATATATTTATTATAGTATTCCTTTATTTAATTATTATTATTATTTATTAATTTATTGAACAATCATTTTAACACATTTATTATATATTTATTATAATATTCATTTAATATCATTTTTTATTTATTTAATTATTATCATTATTTATAACTATTAATTAAATTTATTGATTAATTAATAATATATGCATATTAATTTAATTTTTTTATAAGTTTGAACTCTATTCATTTATATAATAAAAAATTAGATAATGTCTTACTTATAAATAAATATAAAACCAGATGAATAAGATGAATAAGATATTATGCATAGTCATATTATTTTTATTCTTGATATCCATAATTGCACTTTTTTTTTTAAAAACATATATATATTAGATATTGATTAAAAATTTAAAATTATTATTTATATATATAGTAATTATATATAGTGATATATAAAATCTATTAATTTTGTTATTAACTCAAGATTAATATATGTATATTAATAATAATTTTAATCACTTTTGCAAGAAATAATTTTCTAAATTATTAGAATTTTAATTTAATTTTTCTTGAATTCTATAGAGCAGATTCTAATGATTCTAAATTTTTGTACTTTACATCATTTTGTACTTTACATTCATTTATACATTTTATGTTATATTGCATCATACTGTTTTGAATACTATTAATAGACATAGAGAATAATTTCTCAAACGTCACAAAATTACAATTATTTACATATAAACTATTTAGCTACATATTAAAAACCAGTATTGAAAAATTTCACAAGTATCATTAATTTTATTTATAAATATTTATTTAAATAAAAAATATATATTGTTTAAGATATTTATAATAAATTTTATAATATATGATCAATTGAATAAATAATCATTAAAAAAAATAAAGAAAACCATTTTGAAAAAAGAATTGAGAGTTAACAAATCGATAAGAAAATGTTTCAAGAGGAGAAAGTAAGCTCTCTCTTTTTGTTGGACCATTTTTTATGAATTCACACGTTTCTCTAATAAATTTGCAAGGATCTAATCAATCGATATTGGCCAGAATCATATTAGTAAATATGCATAACTATACTTTAATTTTAATAAAATGTAATTTTTTTAAAGGTATTTTTTTATAAGTATAAAATAAAAAATCATGTTTATTTTGATTTAATAGTCCAATTATTAAATTTAACAAATATTAATATTTAAGAATAAAAAGTTTCTAAATTCTAACATTCTTAGAATAATAAGAAATAAAAAATGGGAAATAAAACATGATCATTTTTAATGCTTATTTTGTTTCCATCAAAAGAAAAAAAAAATATTTGATTTATATTGAATTCAATATGTATATATATGTATATATATTTAATGATTTAAAATTAAACGAAATAGTATTTTCAAACAATATTTATAAAAATATTTCAGTTTTTCAATATTTGTATTAACTTTTTTCAAATTTTTCTGAACTACGTATTCTGGTTACTAGTTTAAACAAGATTCATTTAAAGCCGATTCCATGTTTTGTTTAAGACATCAGAGAGAGAGAAAGAGAGAGAGATAGAACAGAACAGAGAAAGAATACCGCAGAACCATGTAATAGCAAGCAAAGCTAGGTCTCGAGCAACTATACACGGCTTGCGAAACCGTTCGTCGTTGACTGGCGTCGTTACTTGGTCGTGATCGTGCTCGTAATCAAGAGTCAAAGTCAAGGTCGAGATCGAGGCGAGAGAGAACACACTTATGCAACTCTCTTGTTGCCTACCGTACACCGCGATAGTCCGCGGTAGCTAAAAGAAAATGGTGGGGAGATCATTGCACAGCAGCACGGTGACCGACCACGCCAGTAAACAGGTATGAAAGAACTGTTACGTATTCTCAGGAAAACTCAATACTCGAAACGCAATGAGAAATGAGATTGCATTGTGGTAATCAGAGTTAAGGAAAATTGAAGATTAAAAAACTGAAATATTTTTATAAGCAAATATTTTAAAATATTATTCGTTTAATTTCTAAATCACAATTATTACACTCGAATTTAGCATAAATAAATAAATAAAAAAATAATAAATAATAAATAATAAATAAAAAATATTTATTTTCTATTTAATTAGAATGTAACAAGCAAAATTATATTT